TGACCCCTAAAAGGGACCTGTATTGTGAGATGATGGGCGTGGCAGCGCTGAAATTTCACCCCTACGAGGTACCAATCAATAACAGGTCATTTTGTTTTGGTTTCCCGATTTTATTTGTGTTTTTGCACAAGCATCAAACGCCGTTGGCTCGTATTGAGTTTATGACGACGTTGTCATATACAAATATATGATGACGGCTTACTCGTTATTATCGCCCTAAGTGGGACCAAAACACTTATTTCAAACCCTAAAAGGGACGACGCGGACCCCCGCCCTTTTTTGTCGGCTGTAGAGTTTTTTAGACCAATTTGCAYATACTAGTTTGTTACTGTTAGTGGCAAAACTGCAATAACTAACTGTTTCTCTAATTTCATTTAGCATTGAATGAACTATGTTTGTGTATAATTTCAGCGTGATTGGATTGTTTTTAAGGCCATTGCATCGCTTTGTTTTCGACCTTTGTACAGACTGATTACGAGACACGATAATTATGTTGCGACGGCAATATTTTACTTTGGCGAATTTCTCAAAAATATAAATTCCCTGGAATCTTTTGATATGCTTTTTGGAAAAGGTCTACCTAAAGGTGTCATCTGGCAAAGTATGAAGAATTTGACCAAGAGGTCACTGAAATCAGATTCTCGATGCTTGGGGACATTCGCTAGTTTTTTTATCACAGACAAATCAGTGGGTATTATCAGTCTGCCAATCATGGACAGTCAATAGAGTGGTTTTCCGTCAACCATGAAAACACTATAAGTCTAATAGTTAGTAGTAGTTTGTAATGTACCAATTCTAATAGTCTAGTCTTGTATCCGATTGATATAGGTATAAACATATTCATCACAAAAACAAGTTTTTTTATTTTAAATTCTAATGGTCATTTTTGTTATGGTAACTAATTAAACTAAACGTTTAATTTATTCAAACTATAGTCTGTTGTTTGTTAGCTGTTCGTTCAGGATCTGTTCTAAAACTCCACACGAGAGTGACCACGAATGACCACGAATCACAAATGAGCAACCACGACTGACCACGAGTCAAAAATGAATAAAATTTAAAAAAYRGAGTGTCTAAACGTCAGGAAGTTCGACAA